AAAATGCCGGTTATCACATTATCTACCCCTCAAAAGAATTTCGTCCCGGAATTCATTTAATCAAACAACCAAGGGTATCTGGTTCTCATTTTAGACTCTAATTCTCATGTCGCTTCTGAACCCTTGTGATAACACCACTGTACTTTTATCAAACTGATTTTTTTATTCCTTAACACCCTGATTTTTCGGTCAGTCACAGCTTCTGGTGTTTCCACGAAATTTAGTTTATCGGTGGAACAGAAAAAATTGTCCCACCCGGTCCCTCATTTTGTCTCATCTCGTGCAAAACATGAACCAATACGTTTTGTATTGTTCTGTACAGTTGTGCGTCCTATTTAGTTTCATGTAGCAAATACGGCCTCAGATAATCCATTTACTTATAAAGATAAATAGCCATTCTAAAACCATTTTTGTATTCTAAAAGTAGGATGATTGGTATATGAAAATTGTAAAAGTAACTTTTTTAAATAATAATATTTTAATTCTTAAATTCAAAAAAAGATCGAACAAATAAGAGGCAAGTTGCAATATAGCATTTATGAGGCAAGTTATGAAGGATATGAATGTACGTACAACCTCTAATGCCTAAGGTACAAATCATCTTGAAATTCTTAGATCTTGCACAAGTTAATGAATGCAATAATCATTGATCATCACTCACATATATTTGCGTATGTATTAGAGAGAGACCCCTTCTTTTTATGTATTAAAGAAATAGTATAAATTTTATTAATCGAGAAATTTTCATCCTTTTTATATGTTGATATCACATTTTTTAAATATCTTATTCACTATTTATACTATATTATAAAGTATTTGACAAAAACTCTTAAAAACCATTTTGTATGCATAAAGTACTGTTTATTGATGTATATTACTTAAAATTCAAGATTACAAGTAATTTGTACGTAAGTACAACTTATTAAAGCTCCGTATTCAAATTCATGTAACTAACTGCAATTAAAAATAATTAAATACAAGATAAACACATCATTTTAAATATAAAAAATTTAAAATATAATTAGGATAATCATTGAGTTTTAACAGAATACTTGATAATTAGGATAATCATTAAGTTCTAACAGAATACTTGATTATTATCTTTATAAAAAAATTATATTATTTAATCTAAATTAAATTACTTCGTTACTAAACATAAATTAAATTATAATAAAAAATTGAATTAAATAAATTACACAAAAAACAATAACTTTTAAATAGTTAATTTTGATACTAATATCGATATTTTTTTTCCAAATTTTTATGATATTTTCAAATTTATATTTTATATAAAAAATAAAAACATTATCCCTTTTCGCAAAACCATATAAAACCATATTATATCAACATAAAAAAATAACAAAACAAACCATTAAAATCGAAATAAGTCTCGATGCATTGCACGAGTACCCTTCTAGTAATATGAAAATGTAAGAACATACATATCAATGTGATGTTATAGTCCATCACATCTTATACTAAATTAAATTGTAGGCGACCTAGTTTGTGGACCAAGTTACTCTCACGTGTATTATTACATTATGGGCATTCTTGCTTTATTCTAAAAAATAATGATTTTTTCGTTTGAATATATATATATATAGATAGATAGATAGAGAGAGAGAGGGGGGGGGGGTTTGGTTCTTTTATTAACCCAATAAATGATGTTAATTTTGTGAACCGATCTTAACACTTCACCTTGGAAATATGTGGTTTACATTTACAGCGGTTTGGTCGAACCAAGCCTCCGCAATTTCAGAATCCCCCTGCCGAATGGCCTGTTCTCCCCGGTCGGAATAGGTATAAGTTAGAATAAGATACATTATAGACATAAATGCACACTTACGAACAAGGGTACATTTGGAATAAATCATAAAAAAATTTGTAACATCCATGTTCTATGTTAGTAAACATATGCACTATATAGTCTAGTTCACATATGAAATAAATGTGGAATGGTTCATGGTTTACCTATGAACAAACATTAAGGGCCTGTTTACTTATGGCTTAATGAGCTTACCGGATAAACTGGCTTATTCGCACAGCCATTTTAGGTTGTTTACTTCGAGCTTATTCGCCCAGATAGGGGCTTATTCGCACAGACCATTTTAGGCACTTGTCCACATTAAGCCAACAAAAAAGACATACCTACCCTTGTAAAACTCACGGTCTGGGCGATTTTGGTCCTCGACAGATTTGCTCCTCCTCCAAAACCCTAATCGCGATTTTG